ACAGGGGGCAGCTGCAGCCCTAACGGACCGAACTTCAGTCAAACAAGAYCMAACACWTTTATTCCTGATTTAAACTAGTGATCTTGTGAGCAGCTGCATGCTTTTATTTTTTTCTGTCAGGCTGTCGCAGAGCGCTCCACTTCCTCTGTACGGTGCTGGTGTGGTGTGAGGCGAACAGCTCAGCCAAGGCTGCTGGAGCTTCATGTCCTGATCCAGGGAGCCAACATGAGTCAGTCCCAGACTGAGCTGACTTGATCAAGTTTCTCTCTGCCTCTGGTGAGGAGGGGGGTGAAAAATCCTCCACCTCAGACCGTTTAGAGATGTAACTATCTGCGTCGCTGTGGTCACTCTCATGTAGCATCAATTATGCTAATGCTATCTGTCACGTTCTCTCGTCCTGGCCACACCTCCGCTCTCTAACCCATAAGATACACTTTAAAGAAACACTACCCATCTATATTGGTTATGCTGGAATATTCAAATTATTTTAAGACTGAAAGTGTGATTTTTAAATTATCTATCTATTTATTAGTGGCATTAAACAACTTAGACTGTGCTGAAAATCTAATTTACAGAACTACTAATAATTAGTAATTGTGTTATAAACATTTCTAAACCTATAATCCTGTAAAGCTGTATGACTTTTGTCCCATTATATATAAAGAAGCTATAAGGACTTTATTATGCTACTTTAATAAATTAATTCTAATAAACTTGAAACACACCCCACATAACGGTCCTAATGTTCAAACTTTAAAAATTATAGCCAAACGTATTATTTAAAAGTTTGAACAGAAGATTTAACAATAGTTTACCTGCATGCTCATGTTTCCCATCAGCGGGGGCATTTGATCATGTATTTTTCTCCTCTGTCCTCTAAAATCTGGCATTCCAAACCCAGAAAATCCTCCTCTTCCTCTGTTTCCCCGGCCCCCWCCTCTGCCTCGGCCTGTGTAGCGATTTTGTCTCTTCTGCCGTTCTTGTTCCTCAAACTCCAACAAATCTTTTTTGGCTTTCTCTGACAGTTCTGATAACATGCAAAAAAAAAAAAGGACAGGGGTGCATRTTAGCTGTGGAAAAATTACAGGTTCAAGTAGTAATGTAACACTGTATCTGTTACAAGATTTAATGCAAATATCTAGGGTTCACTTTGCCAGCAAATTAAATTAAAAAGTGAAAAAAGTTTGTACCCAGCGTTTCAGGAATAATCCTCTTTTTATTGCCTGCATCCGCCAGTCGCACAACAGCGCCTTCCTTCCTTTCAGACTTAAATCGTATWCGGCCTGAGTCTTCAACTTCGTCGTCTTCTTCATCTGATTCCTCCTTTGTTTCATCATCCGGCACAGTGTCATGCTCACCCTGAAGACATTTTCTGATGTTAAAATTACAACTCTTTCACTATGACACCTCCCTTCTAAATCTACAATGAGTAATTTCGGGCAAAATAAAACTGGAGATTAMTTTCACAACTTTTGCTACAAAGAACAAAAACTTACATAAGCTAACATTTTAC